GGACAGGCAACGGCGACGGCTGGCCACCGGATCCAGCACTGCTACATGCCATCCAGCGCTGCAACAACAGTAATCACCCTATAGAATATCTAAAAATGACCCTATCTACATGCCAAATTAGAAAGAGTAGTCCACAGTAAAATCGCATGGACAAACAAAGGGTCAACACAGGCACAAAGAGTCAGGACACACACACACACACACACATAGAGAGAGAGAGAGAGAGAGAGAGAGAGAGGCCGAGGATCACCGCATGAACAAATATTGAATTCTGTAGGCAAACACAAAGACACCGGATTCTTTAAACAACCTCTCTCTCTCTCTCTCTCTGCATGTATAAGTTCATCCTAGTTCATAACTGTTATGTTAACCGGGTAAGCTGTAAGTAATGTCGTCGCTTTGGTCCAATTGCATAAACATGTGATGATCAACTTCAGAGAAGTTAAAAGGGAAGTGGGAAAACCTCAGCACAACATATGCAACATAACATCTCAAGTAAACCTATAGAAGTGACATTGAGAAACTTTAAAAAAAGGAACAGGCTCATCAGGGGCTTGGAAGCGTTGATGTGAGGTCTTGACCTTGAGGGAAATTGTCCGTGTTCTAGAAGTACCTAAATGGATGAATAGAAAGAGTCACAATAAAGCAGAAGGCGACTAAAATGTCACAATAAAGCATGCTAAATTATTGTCCACCAGGTCTTTCACAGGTTTTTATGTATTATATTTCCTTCCCATTAGTGTATAAGGTTGTGCACTAAGGTCACCAAGGCAAGAACATGCAGAAATTAAATCGAAGTTGGTCAGATACGCAAATAGCATCCTATATTAGTAAGCAAGAGGTGCATACTTCCATTTATCAGTAGATTTCAACATATGTTTATTTTTGTATAAAGAATAATAAATGTATATATATGTGCTAGTAAAAAACTATAAAATCATGTACTACATCAGTAAAATCGATACGATCCAACATAGCACATGCTGTGATAATATGCACAGCCGGTCGACATAGAACCTAACTCGTGCTTACCATCATTTACATTAAAAAGGACGGGGAAGCTACTACAACTTCCTGTACTGGTCATCTAATACAAATAAACAATGCAGGAAAAGCCTCTTTTACTTGGATCATACATAACAACAATAGATGGGATGGTGACCGTGTAAAATAAATTACCGGGAGTGGAGATCAGCGACAATCGTGACTCGTCACCATAAAAGCCATAAGCCCTCCCACACTCATCATACGTAAATACACAAGAACATAAGAAAATATATTTTTTAGGAAAAAAGTTCAAAAATACACATTTTTTGCTTGTGATGATATACATGCAGCAGTTAATGTATTATCCATAAAACAAAGAATGTGTGCCTCATATTAATCATCCTTTCACACATAACTTAACATGCAGCAAAAAGATTTAATCTATAGTTCAAGATTAATGAACGCAAAATGAATGAGTCCTTTACAGTAAGGCATTTATTGATTATAATGGAGTGTGAATACATCATATGTTTACTTGATGGAAATTGCAGTCAAGAAAAGCATAGAATGAGTCGAGTACCTTCTGGTTCGCCCAATTTGCTCGTGGTCATCAAAGGTGTTCTCGAGATCAAACAACCAAGTATGAACTCCCGAACTTCTGACCAAATAGCAGGGTGTACACCTTAAACCACAGAGAATAGAGAGCCGGCCATGTTAGAGATTATATGAGGAGAGGTAGGCAAAAAAGTAATGGTCTTAAAATAAAATGAGGGATGTCTCATATATCTTTACCCTTGTCAGAATCCAGTTTAGAACATAGGGAATATTTAGGGAGCCTTGTTGCAGAAATATAGAATGCCATTTTCAACCACCTAATGTTTTTGAAGCTGAAACTGAACCGATTGGCACTATTGATTTAGCACACTTCTCAGAGATTTGAATCCTTCCCATGGTGCCTAATTCCGGGCGTGTTCGGTAGCTCTCCACAGCCTCAAAATCCTCAACTCCATAGCCCAAAACCAGCAACCGGCTTCTCAGTTAAAATCCTGGAGTTACAAATCGTTCGGTAGAGTAGCTCCTCGTTCTGGCCGTTGAAACAGGCCGCCAGCCACCTAGCTATGAGAAATAGCAGCTCGGGAGGGCCCAACTAGGCGTGACAGCCCATCTACGCGTGGGAAGCCTGCTCTGGCGAACGAACGAACCGGTAACTGCCTTGGCGGTGGCACATATTTGTAATATTTGCAATAAACGAACGAACCGGTAACTCACTTGGCGGTGGCACTTAGATGTAATTCTTGGCAACTCCTGCTTCGCTGTTTTGGAGGAGCTCGAGTTTGCCAGCTCCGCGACTCCGCAAAAATTGCACTGCAAGTTTCGCCAGCTTCTCTCGCTCATAACCAGGATTTGGATCGTTCGGCTGCACTCCTCACGTGGAGTTGAGGAGTTGAGAAGCGGGAGGGCTCCCGAACACGCCCTCCAACTGTACGCATACCCATGCCAAATTGATCACATTTGTAGGAGAGGGGGAAATGACTGGAGAACATTTGAGTAAGTCAAGAGCCTCAGGTTCAGATGCCAATGAGGACGAATTGAGCATGCCAACCACTATATTCACATAATAAGATGAACTCGACGTCGCACCAAGCATCGAGTTGTGCATAATGCTTATTGAAACAAAAGAAATATACTTCGTGGGAAGCAACATTAATTAATTACATTCTGAAATATGTTGCTCTAACATCCAGGAGTGAATCCTAGATTGCTTAAGCTAAAATACACACAGTATTCTAGTTCAGTTCGACTGCTGGTTTTTACGGGAGTCTACTACTGTTGTTGTGTTCTGCTGAATGAAAATAAACTCAAACTCCTGCTGTGTTTCCCAATCTATCTATCAGATAATAAGGTTGCATATGAGGAACAAACACCTCCACTTATGGGCTCCAATTACTACAGAGAAAGGGAGTTAAGCCATCTGAAAAGTACTAACTAAATACAACGTACAACGAAGAAACTAAATACTACAGAGGAAGGGACCCGAAGGGTGGAGCAGAGGAGCTCGTGCTCTTCCAACTTCATTCTGGAAAGATAAATGGACTACTAAAGGCCCCTTTTATATCCAATGACCTACCATCTACTCTCACAGACTCACACACTCAGGCCTAACGCTTTTGTTACAGACTGTAGGAGAGGCGGAGAATGGGTAGTTCACACTCGACGTATCATGTATGATCAGGCGAACAACAACTCAACAAGCTCCACTCACTTGCATTATTCCTCAACTCCGTATGTCTCCAGCAGGGGTCCTCACAGAAGTTTATTAGTAAACATGTAAGCAAAATATTGTATGCAAGAAAAGTAACAGACATGAGCAGCAGAGTAATATCCATTCCAAACAATCACTTCCATTCTATTTTAGATTTGTTGGCAATGACCAAATATTCACAGAATTCCCTCAGAGAAATACTACAATATACTAATCTTAAAACAGCTTCTGCCAACTAAGTTCTAAACCTCATCTAGCAACATATTTGTGCATTGCAACTGAAAGTTCGTTTAGAAAGATCCCTAGAAGAATCAACTCGTAGGTGTGCAAGACGTATCTCAGCTGACCTGTGCAAGTGCTTGTAGGCAACTGTTAGTGGAGCCAGCAGAACGTGGTGAACCATGAACCTGAAGCTCTTTGTCAGCCATTCGACTTGAAAGAAATTCCTCATGATTTTCTTGCA